TTTGAGGAATCTCCATGCTGCTTTCCAGAGTGATTAAACACCAATGCTGTATTCGTGTTGGCTCCCTTTTGGTTGCATCCTTGCCAGAATCTGTTACTGTTTGTTTTCTTGATAATAGCCATTCTTACTGAGGTGAAGTGGCATCTCAGTGTTGTTTTCATTTGCCTTTATAGTCAGATGTTGAACATCTCTTCATGCTTCTACTGGCCTTTTTTTACTTTATCATGTGAAGAGACTCTCTTTTTAGCTCATTAAGCCATTAATTGAGTTGTTGGTGTTTTGAGGGTTTAAGTTCTCTATATATTCTGAATACTTGGCCATTCTTCCATTCTGCAGGTTCTCTTTTCAGTTTGTTGGCTATGTCCTGCCATCCTGTTTATCATCTTTCTTTGATTTGCTATGCATCTAGATCTTTACTCAAAAAGTTTCCACCTGTGCCCTGGAGCCCTAATGTTTCCCCTATTTCCCTACTTCCCATATTTATGGTCTGAGGTATTACATTGAGGTCTTTGTTCTATGTTGAACTAATGATACTGTACCATTTGTTAAAAAAAAAATGAAGACCTGGGGAAAATTGTTAAGTGCAAGCCCATAGAAAAGCTAGATTTAGTTTGTAAACTTATAAGCAAATACTTTGGGTGGTATGAAAATGTACACAAATTTGTTAATGGAAAGGGATAACTTTACCTTAGATAGGTAAAGTGAAAGTTCAGCCAACACATGAGGAAGCAGGTACTCCAAAGGGTGAGCAGAGTCAAAGGGAAAGGAGTAGACAAATGAAGGGGAGAAGAAAGGAGAATGCACTGAAGAATCCAATGCACATCCTATAAAATTAAGAAGAGTGAGAGGAGTAAGCAGGGGAGGGTTGGGTGAGAATGTTCAAAGGGGTGACATTGACCAAGACGTATTTTATTCATAGACTTTTGTTAAATGGCAAATACTTCATACAACTCCTTAAAGATAAAAAGAAAATGTACAAGTAATGGATGTACAAGGGTACAAGTAATGGATGTGAATACAAATATGGAAATATTATTATAATGCTCTGTTAAAATGAATACTGCAAGTGCATGAATATATCTATAGATTTTTAAAAAGTTATTTTGAGACTAAGGCCATCTTCAACAGTGAAAGGAAGAATAATTTCAATTCTGTATTTTATAGAAAACAAAACTTTCCATTTTTTTTCCTTTACTCAGCTTTGACTCCTTTATCCCCTGAGATGAACTGATAGGACCAAAGACTTTCAAGCGAAAACTACATGACTGCTCCCTGACCAAGGCCCCATTAAGAGTCAGCTCTCCCAGAAAAGAAAGGGTAAGGGGTGGCCCAAAATGTAAACAGTCTCATCTGAACTGCCATACCAAATTAAAGCTAAGTATATTTAGAAATATCTTGGAATTTCATATGGTGATCGAAACTTTTCTTTTGGAAATTGCTTGCTAATTTTTATTCACACTGACCCAGGCCTGTAATCTGCCTGATACTTCCTGAATGTTAGGGTCCAGTTGTGCATGAAAAACTCTGAAAATTAGAAAAATAAGTTCACACTAAATCCAGATAAGCATCTGAGTGATAGAGGAATTGGTGGTTTGTAAAACATGATGCTTTTGAATGTACTGCAAATAAGGCATCACTATAAATGAGAACAGAGAACACAATTACTGTACAAGCACACCTTGTTGTCTACCAAAACATTTTCCAGCTAAATATTGGAAGCAGATAAACAATTATCCATTGGTGAATACTTACAGTGCCATACCATATATCCTTTATCTAATGAAAACATTATAGCGTATGTGGTCCACTTTAAATATTTGCCATTTTATTCGGAGATAAGCACTAATTGCATCCGTTTAATTACTTAGAAATTCATTCATACTTACCTGCTATCAATTAAACAGCAGAGGACGATGCTCTATCTAGAGAGAGGTTTACTGTCTTGATCTGACTATGCAGAGTGTGACATATGCTCCCCTTCAACCCCCACAAATAAGATGGAAATGAGTCAACCTTTGGGCGATTCAAGGGAAGAGGTTCAAGAAAACATTTATCAAGATAAAACTTGAGATACTGCATTCGTCAGTTTTCTGTAGCTATAACAAAATGCCCGCAAGTGGGTTCTTCATAGAGTGATTTGTGCAGCATCCAGTGTCAGACGTTGACTGTTCATGCATGCTCTGGCAGCCTCAACTTTTGGTGCTTGGCTCCTTCCTGTGTGTGTACACCATGAGGCGGGATGGTGGCAGGAGTATGCAGGAAAGGGGGAAATTCCATGGTGAAGCCAGGAAGGGATGTCTTGTTTTGTTTTGTCTTTCAATAACAACTCACTCTTGCCAGAACTCCTGCTGTCCAGCATTACTCCTTTCCAATGACTTCATTCCCAAAGACCTAATCGCCTCCCATGAGGTTCCTCCTCTTACAGGTGACACCAATTCTCCATCCCGACTCTGGCCCCCCAGGCCTCCAGTACATGGATCCCTGAGGAGCAAACCACATCCTAACAATAGCAGGTACCTTCTATCAGAATGTGGCACTGCTTTAGGGGGCACCAAATCTCAGGAGTTCAGCAGCAGCTGATAAGCAACAACTTTGGCTAAATTCCAAGTCAGAAACTCTCGCTTAACAAAGTAATAATTTGATCTAAAACTAACAACATCCAGTCATGGCCAGTACACTAAATTCTCTCAGTAATTTTTTTTTAAGTCACTGGAAGGAAACTTCCAATTGATTATATGGAAGTGTGTGTGTGTGTGTGTGTGTGTGTGTGTGTGTAGTGGTGCAGAAGTGAGCCTCTTAAATTAGCTCCAGAAGCCACCTACCCAATCTTCACACCTCTTTTTAAAAGTAAAATTAGACATAGATTGCCTGTCTCTCATTTCTTCTTAGATAATTCTGCTCCGTAGCTTCAGAGATTTCAAAAGTTTTTCACTGGCTAGCTTGATTTTTCTCTGTCCACTCAGAAACCAACTATGCCTATATCTTTTATTTCTACCTCAAAAGAGAAAGGCAGAGGGCAGAAGACAAACTATTCTTAAGGATTCTTTTTTTGGGGGGGAAGGGGGGGTCCGGTCGTGGGGCCTGAACTCTGGGCCTGGGCACTGTCCCTCAGCTCTTCAGCTCAAGGCTAGCGCTCTACCACTTGAGCCACAGCACAACTTCCGGCTTTTTTTTCTTTTTGCTTATGTGGTGCTGAGGAATCGAACCCAGGGCATCAAGCATGCAAGGTAAGCGCTCTACCACTGAGCCACCTTCCCAGCCCCGACAAACTATTCTTGAAATAAGTAAAACCAGGTCCCACCCAAGGACCGAAGACTTTGCTCTTGTAAAGGCCTCCATTCAAAACTATTAGCCGTACGTAAGGTTACAACTATGATTCCAACCTAAAGGCATTTTATATTATGTTTGGTACACACATGATTTTAGTCAACTTTCTGGGTCTCAGGACAGACTAGTAAATAAGTAGCATGATGATTTAAGTTTCAGAAAAGATGTGTCATCTCTCCCCATCTCTCCGCACCCTGGCCTTAATAGTATAAGAGAGCAAATAGTTTGATAGAAAATTCTGGGAAATAAAAACAAAAACAAACAACAAAACAGGTTTTTAAAATGAGAGCCCAGAAGCTTTTGGACCTATTTTGTAAAGTTTAACAAAGAGTTTGTCCTCTTCACTATGAGTACAGTGTGGGAGGGTACGGTGCAGGAGGGGTCAGTATGTTTGCTGTTAATGTATCTATAATGAAATTCTTCTGGAAAAAAAATGCAACACGTAAAATATGGCAAGTATCACGAATTGTTTGATACACCAATTCTAAACATCATATGGTTGATTTTGGAGAAAAAAATAGCTGTTTGGATACACTTGCTACAAAGGTGGGGCCTAAAAAAATTGGCTGAACCTACAAAGTATAACACAGTGGTCAAAATGAATAAATTTAAACAGAATTCAAACATGTGTAATTAGTATAGAGGCCATGACAACTTCTTTGGAATTGTTTCGGAAACTATAAATTACCTCTTGGATAACAGACATGGATACCTTCAAGATTTTGCTCTAGAATGAAAAGCAAGCACATCAAGTTCTAGAATCGCATAGCAGTTTAAACACTTTGATCTACTGAATTCAAGTCAAATAAAATAATTCTGTAGCAAATAACCAATTGTGCCTAGAAAGACCAGTGGAAGAAAGACTCAGGCTCGGGCAGTTTGATGGCTCATGATTCTCATTCTTATCCCTCCAAAGTTCACCCCAAGGTTGGCTCTAGGAATGACTGATGAGTAACAATGGACACCAAATGCTTCCTCTCCATGCCCAGGAAGTTTGCATGATTCTGCTCCAGCATTCTAACCAAGAATGTTGTGTTTGTCCCCAGCTGGAGCAGTTGACATCATAAATCCTTCATTAGTATTTATGGCCAGGGAAATGATGGTTTGTGTCGACTGGCTTTTTCAGTCAAGAGGGAAGTTGGAGCTGGGTATCTAGTGTGTACTGAAAAGGCCAGACATTATCTAGAAGGTAAGCAAGCTCTTGCAGACAAACCAGGAAGAGAGGCACCAATGATTCATGCCTATAATCCTAACTATTCAGGAGGCTAAGATCTGAGGATCGTGGTCTGAAGCTACCAAGGAAGGAGTCTGTGAGCCTCTCATCTCCAATAAACTACTGAGAGAAAGCCAGAAGTGGCACTGTGGCTCAAGTGGTGGGGCACTAGCCTTGAGCACATAGTGACTTAGGGACAGTGCCCAGGCCCTGGGTTCAAGCCCCAGGAGCAGTAGCAAAAAACAAAAAAAACAAACAAAAAAAAAAAAAACCCACAAAAACAGGAAGTAGAGAAAATGAATCTTGATGGTCACTACCTGGGCATCTGTTTGGAAGACCCTGACTGTACTGAGTCAAAATTACTAATAGAACAGAATTTTCAGGCTACAAAGCAATAACCACCACCAAATTCCAAGGCCAGTATGTTTCTTTTTTTTATTATTACTATTTTTGTGTTTAACTTAAGATAGTTGAACAATTCCATTCATAAGCATTACATTAATTCCCATGCAAAAACCCAAGACCATATATTCCTAATTCCAATTGGCCAAAATTCAACCTTCAGGTCTGGATGTTAATGATCCAAACCAATCAGCTGTTCCACTTTTCCAGTAGTAGACACCATGGCGGTCCTTTGGGAGATTAGCAAACCCCATTTACCCCCTCAAACACCACAGGGTGCCATGAATCCACAGCACAAGGGGAACCAATGCCCCACAGCACCTAAAGCTGGCAAGTCATTTCATTCATGAAGATAGGAAATGTCCATTTCACACCCACAGATACCCTGGTTCCTGCTCGATGGTCAAAGCTGATTTTGAACATGGTATCTTCAGTTTGGGGCTAACTATTCTTCCTTGCCAGTTTTCTCCAAAAATCTCTCTTCATAAAAGAGCTTCTCTCTAGTACTCCAAGAGAAATAAATACAGAAACCTCTACTTTATCAAGTATATTTCTTCCTCGGCTTTAGACAGAGTCAAAGAACAGGTATAAAACTTTAAAAATTTTTCTCTGGGTAAGACAGGAACCAGGAACTCCAAAGGGGGCAAAAGAACACCCTACAATTAAAGGAGAACTGAACCGATTGCAAAGGGTCATTCTATGAACTGAGAGAAATGAGCTAAATGAAAACCATGGCTGTATGTCAACAGCAGATATTAACTTCTACTGAAACACACATCGTAACTCAGACAATGGCAAAGTTTCATTAGTGCAAATAACAATTATCATGGTATATCCTTTAATGGGGTTTTTAAATAAGGCTTCAAATAATTACACACACTAAAACTGACATTTGGAAATCTTAATTCTGCTTAGAAAGCTATGAAACGTACCCTCCAAACCCTCCAAAGTTCGCTAACTCAAGGACAATTACATTCAAAGAAGGTTCTGCATTATTACGTCCAAAGTTTACATGACTTGGTGGGGAAAGCACTCTGGCAGAAGAAATAAATCCAGCCAACACGCCAGATGGTTCCCAGGTTCAGATTCTCCAGTATCCAGTATCCACAGTGATGAAAACTCATTGGGGAAAAAAATAAAGGCAAAAAAAAAAAAAAACCCAAAGATAAGAGACTTCGTAAGCGTCAGAAAGAAGTTTGTTTCCCAAGACCCGCTTAAAAAAAAAAAAAATACGTGCAAAGTAAGAAACAGAAAAAGCGAGAGGGTTTATGGGCGTGTTCATCTATGGCTCAAGTTCTCCTTAAAAAGTCGAACAAACAACAACAACAACTCAACAAAGAAAAGGCCATGACCACAACTAAGAGAATAGAAGCAACGGAGCCAGAAGGCAGAACGTGAAATAGTAATAGACTGTTTCAGAGGCTGCACCATCCTGAAGAACCAGGAAACTTAACATTTGTCCTTAACAAATCCAATCTAAGCTGGATATGTAACACACACACACACACACACACACACACACTCACTCACACACACACACAAAACAGAAGGACAGATCCACATGTGCACGCAACAGGAGACGAGAGTTTTTTAGAACCAGGAGGACAAACAAACAAACAACAAAAAAGTAACAACAACAACCACAACAACAACAAAACACTCAGAAAAATTTATCATCGATTCTGAAATGAGGCCTTGTGACATCGTCGGGGTTAATAAAGACAGAGATGGATTTCCCCGGATTCTCAGTCACCAGCTGTTGGAGTTTTTTGGCCAGACGGTCATCGGGCTGGTTGGGGTCGCCCCCGTCGGACTGCGGGGAAGGGATGCTGGTGGTGCTGCCCCGCCGCTGCAGCTCCAGTGTCAGTCGGTTGGCCGCCTTGACATGCTCGATGGCAGTGCGCAGGTGCTCGGCCGGATCCGAGCGCACCGAGGACAGTTTGCGAGCGTGGAGCATGACCGTCTCCTCCGACAGGTGCTCCAGCATGTTGCACTGGGGAATGAAATAATTGGGGCACATCTTGTTGACCAGACAGTGCTGCAGATCATCAATGAGGCCCAGCAGAAAGTGGGCCGCGTAGTCTTCCTGAGCCAAGTAGTTGGCGGGAAGTCTGTCACAGGCCCAGAGCATCATGCTCCGCAGGTGGTAGGGGCTGATGGCCTTGGGCCGCGACAGGAGTTTAATGATGATGGCTTTGCAGGCCTGGTAGGCCTGCATGAGGCTGCTGGAGATGCATTTCTTCAACTGCACCTCGCTCCTGGCGAAGGATAGCCGCCACTCATTGTCCTTTTTGCCCTTGTAAGAGCAGGCAGGCACCAGGTAAAACCCACTAATCACCTCTTCCTCCGTGATCTTCCCATCCCAAAAGTGGTTCTCCATGAGCCAGCTCTGTGCCACTGCCGGCCAGCCTTTGAAAGACACCACCGGGACGATGTCGTACAACATGCGGCTGCTCCCCACGCCCAGGATGATGGAGATGATGGTCCCGTTTTTCTCCACCTTTTCCACCTTTGGCATCCCCCGCTGGGGTTTCTTCTGGATCTCGGCTAGGACGATGCTGATCGAGTCACAGAACCAGTCGGCCACTTTGGTAGGAGAGAAGAAGTAGTTGGTGGCGCCGTTGATGTGGTCCACGATGGTGCAGCAGTCTTTCCATTTGCTGATGGTGCCCTCGTCGAACAGACGCAGACTCAGCCAGGAGTGGCACAAGGCGGAGTGGCGCATGTCCAGCGTCACAGGCTGGTTACGGTCATGGAGTTTCAGGGCTGGCACCAGCAGGGTAAAGTCCATGTCGTAGTCAGTGCCCCGGGCGTATACATCCAGCTCATCTAAATCCAGGTCCACCACACCTTCCCGCACGCCTCCAGAGAGCAACAGGTACTCGTTAGCCACCGGGAGCTTCTGGTCCAGCTTCTGCACCATTCCTACAGATAAAAAAAAGAAGACATGCCATTACAGGAGGCACGGATGCCGGTGCCGTCGGCATTCTCCTAGAATGCTACTTTCTTTAGTACAAAGTCAGCAGCCACACTGCTGCACGTGTCCAGATGGTAAGTGCTACTTTCTTTCTTGCCCACGTGGAAATTATAATCCATTTATAGGTATATAAATATATAATATATATACACATTTATATATGTATCAGATATGTATCAGATCTAGCGCTGCCACACACACCCAGATCCATTCTGCCCTTTTTCCCATGCCCAAGTGGAAATTATGATCCACATGCACACACACACACACACACACACACACACACACACACACACACACATCAGATATCATTCTGCCCAGGTGATAACACTGTGTTCTGTCTTGCAAGTGCTAGATTCTTCCCTTTCCCAAGTAGAAAATGACAATGGATGATTTTTTTTGGGGGGGAGGCATATACACCCAGAGCTCCTCTTCTTCCAGTCATTGCCTAATGAACAGCTAAGACTCTAGGAAACGTCACATTTGAAGTCTTCCTTACCCTCCCGCCAAATCTTACTTACATGCCTCCCTCCCTGCGGGCTATTCTCCACTTTTCCCTGTTCGCTGACACTCACTCAACGGCTCTTTGGTATCTAATCATCTCTCGGTATCAGTCTTTGTAACTTTTTTTAAAAACCAGCGTTCCCCTCTAAAGTTCTTAAGAATTACTACAAACTAAGATTCCATTATCTGTGGCAATTATTTTACAGCCATGTATTTTGCTGTTCAGAGAACAAGATGTTTCAAAGTGGTTTGAATAGGATCTGTTACCCCAAACTCACATTTGGAGTTCAATCCTCATCGTGACCAATCAATAGGGTTTTATCATCTTGCCCATGGTGTTTACAGTTGGGCCTTTGGGAATAAATCCGGGCTCAAGTCATCTGAGTGGAGCCCCACGGTTGAATCCTGGAGGTTTTATAAGCAGGAGCAAGCAAACACAGGAGGGACACGTGTGTGATCCCTATCTGGCACCACAAGATTGCCCTGTACCACCGTGGCACTCTGCCAGCAAGCATCACCAGATGCAGCCGTCAACCACACACCTTCAGAAAGAGTCTCTTTTCTTATAATTTACTCAGTCCGTGGTACTGTGCAACAGAAACAAGATCACCATGTATATACGCTTTACTACCATTATTGTTATAGAATAAATTGCTCCCCTCAAACCTGTATGGTGAAATCCTCACTTCTGAGGGGATGCTGTTAGAAGGTAGTTGCATCATGACGGTGGAGCCTACAAACAACCTTCACATCCTCATGAAAGAGACCCCCAGGGATCGTCATGGAGGACACGGGGAGAGAAGACAGGCATTGGGGAACCAGACCCTCACCAGATGCAAAATCAGCTGGTGCCTTGATCTTGAAATCCCTCCTCTTCAAAACTGTCAGAAATAAACTGCTCTTGTTTGTAAGTCATCTAGTCTGTGAAACCTTGTTACATAGCCAGAATGGACTATGATGATTATATTTCAAATTTTAATACTCAATTATAAAACTGTGTTCTTTTTTTTATTCTTTTTAAATTTTGGTAGACATATATATATGTATATTGTAAACAGGTGATGTACAGATGGGTTACAGTTATATAAGTAAGGAAATGAATACAATTCTGGTCGAACATTGTTAGCCTCTCTCTCGTTTTCTCCTGCTATCCCTCCCTCTCCCTCCGACTCCCCCCCCAACCCTCCCCACACACACATGTTGCAAAGTTTATTTCCAATATAGTGTCCTGTGAGTATCACTGTTGCATTGGTTCACCCTTGGTCCTTTGTCTTTACCATTCTATTTTTGTAATTGCATGAAGCATGCAAAGTGTCATATTTAGTTCCATTTCCTTCTGTATAGGTAGGCATAGGGCAAATGATCACTTCCTTTTTAAAACACCACTTTTACACCAACTGTGTGTGTGACATGCTACGTTGATTCTTCTGAAACAAAGGATTTGTCCCAACTGCTGGGGGTGCAGCCCCTAAGCGCTGTGTGACTCCACCAGGCAGCCTCAGCCAAGGCCACAGCCTGTGCTGGAATTGGGACTTTGGGCTGCACATACAGTGCCCCTGCTCCGAATACCATCAAGGATCTCCATTCAAGCCTAGAGCTCCTGGCAGAGAACTTGCACAGGAAACTCAGCTTCCGCTTCTATTTGAATCTGCTTTCCTCAGGTAGAGAACAAAGATGTTTCTTAGTAAATATCACTGACTCTACCTTAGTTTCCCAGGGCAAAACAGATACAATACCTGAGCAATCACAGCTTTCACCATCAGCTAAACACAAGAGATTAATTTTCCTTTTTTAAATCACAGTTTGTAAAGCCAATCCGGGTAGAAAATAATCGTAAACATCAAGGCACAGATCTATCTACTTCTCAAATGTCACTGTGATGGCATATTAATCTCATCTTACAATTATAAGAAACACTGACACCAAGGCTACAGACACGAAAGGCTAAGCGTCATTTCTCAGATTTCAGGGGAGGTTGTAAACCTGGTTTCATTATTTCATGGACTCCACATGTAGGTTCAATTACTTTCAAACAGTTCTACATGAACAATGAAATAATCCATGCTTCATTATTTCAAATATTCTGTCACTCCTGCATTTGTTCCACAAATACACATTAAAATGTGAATTGCCATGCTGTGAGTAGTCAATAAAATTGGAAACAATTAGAGCACTATTGTTATCTGGGTATCACTTTTTGTCTTCTCTTGGGTAGAAATTAACGCAGAATTCTTTTTCTTTTGTCCTAGGTAAGAGCACACTGGCCCTAAACATCCAAGTAGGGCTTGTGTATATAATACAATGTATATAGTCTATACCTTAGCAATCAGAGGTAATTTTTCTACCCCCCCCCAAAAAAAAATTCACTGAATTTTGCCTTGGATGGGCACAACTTTGGTGATGAAATTGTAAACTCCCTTCTGCCCTCTGCTGGACTAAAGAAGAAAAATATTAAAACTAACATTTTCCATTGATCTATACATTAACCACAATAGAATAATTAATTTATCATAACAGGCTATTTTATCATTGACAGTAGAACAACACTGTCAATGATGAAATACATTCTGTTGCTTGTGCACCTAGCAACCATGTTAACCCTTTGTTCCAAAGAGCCAAAATGAAAACATTTAAATGTTAGCACCAAGAGTTATATGTAATTTTAGACACTTCCTATTTCCTTTAAGGTACAGGAAGAATTTCACATCAGGGTAAATATTACTGAGGTTCACTTTGTAAGTTCCTGGAAGCTAGAAACGACGTTTCTAAGACCACACTATGCCAGGAGCTTTTCCCTTCCAACATCCACATTGTCATCCAACCACCTCGAGTCCACGATCTTAACAGTTTTACAAAGGATTTGGTACTATAACCTCGATCCTTCTCCAGCACTCTCCAAGCCCGAACATCCCCCTTGAAATTCTCCGAGGCTACACTCAAGAGAAAATAAGGTGACAGCAGCTATTGTGGCAGATGGGTTGCCAGGCAACAAGGAGCCAGGGCCTGGGAGAGAAGAAGACACAGGAGGGGAAATTTCTACTGTACACTTGGGCTGTAGGGACCTGTTCCAACAAGTGTCATCTCTGCACCGGATTCAAGGGAAAGATGATGTGCCTCTGGCCACCTAACCACCACCTTCTCCAAAGCCAGGAGTGGGAAGGATGAAGAGACACACCCACTGCCCAGCCTGTTAACACAGAAGCACTGAGGGGGTGTAGGAAGAACTTATGCCCCCCCTTACCCCTCTGGGGTGCTCTGATTCCTTTCAGGAATGTGCTGCCATATGGTTTTGCTCTTTAGAAATTCGGAAGTGAAACTGTCAGGGTGGAATCCCCTACTTCTTGGTTTCAGTGTATTGTGTAGCTTCTATCTAACCTGCGTGTTTCGGTTTTCATGGAGATGCTAGAACCTCACGGTCTACGGCATCCTTTTAGGCTTTCACTGGTTCTCTTTAGAACATCAAATAGAAAAGAGAGCTGTGTCCTTGACTCCTTTATGTCCCAGTGGACATAAAGTCTCACATTCAAATCCTTTCCCTTCTCTTCTGGAGAACTCTCTATCTCTCTGTCTCTGTCTCAGACTCTTTCTCTCTCTCTTTCCTTCCTTCCCTCCGCTTTTTTTTTGAAAAACAGACTAGTGTTATGGGAACAGGTGTGTGTGTGTGTGTATGTGTGTGTGTGTATGTGTGCGCATGCGTGCAAATGTGTGTAAGAGACTTTGTCGATGCTGTGTCCCCAATTCCCCCCATGCGGCCATGACAGGTCCCTGTATGCCCACAGCTTCTCTCCCCCAGTGCTACAGACCCCCTGCTCCACTCCTCATCAAGAAATGCAGGGAGGGAGTGGCGCTGTGGCTCAAGCGGTAGAGCATTTGCTTTGAGCTGAAGAACACAGGGACAGCGCCCAGGCCCAGAGTTCATGCCCCATGACTGACAAAAAAAAAAAAGAAAAAAAAAGAAATGCAGGGGGTTTGCACACATCTGACAGCCCCCAGTATACATGTGGCTAGAAGTATGAAAGTGTAAGCCAGTAAAAATGTGACTTTCCACGGTCACTCAGTCATGTTAGTTTCCTACGGTGTCTTATAAAAGTAGATCTGAGAGCTCTCCAGAAGAGCTTACCAGCACTGTCAGATCTGCAGGCTTCTCTACCAGCATGTTGACAGTGTGTTTGCTATTAATGTTACATTGTTGATATGCCTCACTAGGCAAAGCACCATTCAAAACACCTGGTGCACAGCAACTTGAGAGAGGTGAGCATTCCTACATACAGGGGTGGGCAGGGGGGACCGTTCTTCCTTGATTATGGGATCAGGATTTGACATGGGGTAAATGGTAAAGGTAGGGAAGCCGCACTTCTCAGTTCACTCCTGGGACCAACTTTCAGAGCAGAGCTGTGTTCAAATACCTTATTCAAGTATTAGTGTCTCAAGCCAAATTCAAAGA